AAGGGACCTGCAAGAGCTTATCCCTGAGCATCCAGGACACAGGATTTTAAAAACAATTTCTTCATCTCCCCTCCCTCTTTCTCTCTATCCCTCTTTTTCGCCCTTCTTCCCTTATCTTGTTTCCCCCCCTCGCCCCCTGCCCAGTTGATTTATTTGTTCTCTCTGTGCCCTCTGTTCATAATCCTAACATGTGCTAAATGGCGCTGGAAATAAGTTTGAATAACTGACACACCCTTGTCCTTGAGGAGGTCAGGTTTTGTTGGAAATGACAGGTTCATAAATAATAACGATAATAAAAGAGTTACTGCTCACCAGCATTGTGCTTTGGATACTTCATTTCTGATCAACACAATTTCTGTGAGGTAGGTAACATTATCCATTTCAGAGATGAAAACACTGAGGCTCAGAGAAGATAAGTAGCTTGTCTAGAGTCACACAGCTAAGTGTGCAGGCCTTGATCATGCTCACCGCCATGAACATGTATGCACTCATTTCTGGGCTCCTTTCTGAAAGCATCTCCCCCTTTTGAACTACATGTCATGTGCCAAAGAGGAGGTGTCCTCCTGTCAGTCTGTCTCACTTCCTCTGTCTGTCCTCTCTGCCTCTCTCGCTGTTGCTGTCTCTATCTTAGCTTGCTGCAGCTCATTTACTGTCTCTCCTCTGTCCCCGAGTTTCTCTGCTTATTTTTCTTTTCCCTTTCTGTCTCCTCCTCTGCCTTTCTTTCTCTCCTCCTCTCTCTCCCTCTCCCCCTGCCTGCATTTGTATCTTCTCTCTCACTGCAGTTTGATTCTGTTACTCACTTCCTATGTTTATCTCTGCCTCTCACTCCATTTCTCTCCAGTTTTCAAGTCTAAGTTTCTCTCAGCCCTTCTGATTATTTTTCTCTCCTTATCTTTCTGCTGCACCCTGATCACTCTCTCTTTGTGTCTTCCTGTCTGTTTGCATCTCTTTCTCTTTTGGTCCCTGTCTCACTTGGTGTCTCTCTCTCTCTTCTCTCTCCTCTCTCCTCTCTCCTCTCTCCACACCTCGAGGGCATCTCAGGACTTGCCTACAACTGCAAAGGACTCCACAACTCCATCTGCAGCCTCCACACCACACTCGAGGGAAAGATTCATCTGATTCATCATGCACCTGTCCGACACTGTGGGAGGATGAGTGAGGGAGGCAGAGACAAAAGCTATTTCACTGCTGCATTGTTCTTCAGGCCTAGAGGCTCCTACACAGGTGCCTCTTAATATTCCAGCAGTGCCGTCAGCCTTACCAAAGAGAAATCACTTTTTCTCGGCCTACCCTTCTGCAGAGCTAATCAATCTCCTTTAATGATGATCATCTGTTGCTGGCATGGGGAGGAATGTGAACAGAGAAAGAATTCTAGGTGGGGGTCTCCAAACAGGGAGCAGGTAGGAGTTAATTTTTTTTTATATGGAGCCAGGATGATGGCAAGGAAAGACCTACATGAGGACAGAGACTGTGTCCGTTTTTCTCTTCATGTATCCCAGCTCTTAGAACCTCGTCTGACGTGTAGAAGACACTTAATAAATATATGAATGAATTAATGAATCGAGCAAATGAATGAATGAATGAATGAATGGACTTCAGTTTTCCTTGTGCCAATACTTGATGTATTTCAGTGCACAGGTCAGTTTTGAATTCTCATCTGCAAAACGGGGATGATAACCAGGCCTGCCCACAGCACCCACCGTGGGAGAGAGGACAGTCCCAGCAGAGCCTCCTGCTTCCCTGGTTCAAGGGTCCTGATCCCGCCTGACGTCCTTGCCTGCCATCTGCAAAGAGCAGATCAGGAGCTACCTGAGAATCTGAGGAGGCTGAAATTTCCAGCTCACAGACCATCCTGAGATTTTTGTTGGCCATGAAGAGTTGGGAGTTTTCACCCCGATTTTTTTCTGGCTTAATTCTGCAATATATTGAAAGGTTCCCAGCCAAAAGAGTTATTGCCTTCTCTTTGCCTGGATCTTAAATCTTTGTTGAAAGACAGCTTGTTTTAATTGAAAGTGTTCAATCACTCTCTCCCTATCTCCCACTCACATCCCATTTTTCGACTCAGATGGGGCCATTGCAGTAAATCATCTGGAGTGAGGTCCTCAGGAGTTGAGGGAATGTAATGTGGCTGGAGAGGGGAAAAGGGCTGTCCCAGACAGCTCCCACCTTCAAAACACTGTCCTTTAAACAGAGCTTGTCGAAAATGACCAGCGCCCCACAGTGGGACGTTTTGCTGGAGCAGCCCAGCTCCTTTCCTTGTGGAGCTCAAGAGTACTGATTTACACGGTGTCCTCCAGGGTGGCTTCAGGTCTGTCTGTCACTGCGGGCTGGGGAGGCAGGGTCAGGCTTCCTCTTCCCCATGCATTTTTTCATTCAGTCAACACCCATGTGTTAGTCACACACTTCATCACAACAGTCTTGTGAGGCAGGCATCACTGTTTCCCTTTACAGATGAGGAAACTGAGGCTCAGGAGATTGGCTCGCTTATGTGAGGTCCAACAGAGCTCTAGTTCCCACAGACTTAGTGTTTAAACAAAAGCTGTTCTCTCATATTGTCTGTGGCTCAGAAATTTTGGAAGGGCTCAGCTGAGTGGTTCCAGCTTGGAGTCTTTGGTGGAACTGCCATTAGACAATGTCTGGAGCTGGAAGAGCAGAATGCTGCAGGAGCTAGGATATCTCTCTATCATTGTCTCTCACATAGCCTCAGGGCCTCTCCCTGCAGCTGCCCAGGCGATTGGGCTTCCTCACAGCATGGCAGCCTCAGGACTGCTTGCATGGCAGTTCAGGACCCCAGCTGAATTCTTCCAGTAAGCAAGGGGTAAGCTACATCACCTTTGATGACCTTGCCTCAGAAGTCCCACAGTGTCTACCATTTGTTTTGATTACAAATGAGTCACAAGCCCACCCAGATTCAAGGGGAGGGGACAAAGACCATATCTCTCAGTGGAAGGAATGTCAAGGTTATAGCATAGAATAGCATGTGAGATGGAGCTACTGTTACAGATGTCTTTGGGAAATACAATCTGCCATACACAGTACATAATAGAGCCAGGATTTGGATTAGATACATCTAATTCCAAAACGTCTGCTGCAACTCTTCTACCCAGTCCTCAGTCCTTGGGGACCTCTCTTTCTCGATGAGCCCCTGTAGCTCTTACTGTTGGCACACGCAAGCATGATTTGCTTTCCTTAAGCTTCCAGCAGCTCTGTGGGCCCTGGCCGTGAGGCTGCCTTCAGGGTCTGCTGGTTAGAGAGGCCATGCCAGCTTGTGAACTTTTTAAAGAAGGGCACAGAGAAGGTCGGTCAGATCCAGAAGAGGAAAGCAGGTGGCAGCCCCAGAGCACAGCGGGCGTGCGGCAAAGCGCCTGTCATAAACAGCTCATCCTGTGTTTTTCCTTCTCCCACCAGGCACTGGTCTGGGATGACTCAGCCCTTGACAGGAAAGGTGCTTTCAAGTTGGGAAAGAGCCCAGGGTTGTGGAAAGCTTACAGTTTTGCAGTCAGACACTCCTGATTTTAGTCCTGACTCTAGCATTGCTGGGTATGTGGCCTTGGACAAGTTCCTTCACCTCCCAGAAAATGCTTTCCTCACTGGGTTGCTTTGATCAAAATGCATATGTAAACAAAGTACCCAGTGCAGTGCCAGGCACATGCCAGGTGCTCCAAAAATGCCAGTGTTCATGTTCTGGGTCCTGCCCAACCCCAACTCCGGGACTTTTTGAAGAAGGTGGAACAAATTCACTCGACCCTTCTGCAATGGCTAGTCTAGCTCCAGGACCTTGAATGGCACAGTGGCCGAGAATTCTCCTTGAAATGACAACTACACTAAACTGTCAGAAGGCTGAGAATGAGTCGGCCCTATAAGGCTTGTGGAGGGAGGGAGAGTGGTATAGAAAGAGAATAGTGTAGGCAGAGACCTGGAGGGGGGAAAGTTCAGTATTGCTACAGTGTGAAGGGCAAGGAAGGGGGTAGATGTGGGGAGGTAGCAAGCATACACCAAGAAAATAATCAGGGACCCAATTACGAAGGACCTTGTAAATGAAGTTCCAAAATTTGAAATTTAAAGGCAACTGGGTGTCACTGAACGGTTTTACTCAATTGGGTGACATGATCAAGTCTGTGTTTTAGAACAGCCCCCCTGGCTACATTGTAGAAAAGGGGTGGAGACAGGCAGTCAGGACAGGGTGACAATAAGCCAGGGAAAAGGACATACTGGCCTTGTCTAGGGGCATAGCAGGGGACTGGAGACAAGAGAAAAACTCAAGAAATAGGAGGTCTCATGGAGAAGAATTGGTGGCAGTTTGGATGTTCTGAGCTAAGGGGCATAAGCTAGGTAATAAGTGCTTTGAGTGAAGTCAGTTCAGAAGCCACGGAAGTATGGGGCAAGGGGAGAGGAGTGTCATGGAAGGTTTTGCTAAAGAGATCTCACCCAATTGGAGACTTGATAGGTATGAATTAGTGAAGGAAAGAGGGAGGAAGTTCAGGAAGAGGAAACAGCTCATGTGAAGGCCCAGCACTGTGAGATATAATGCAGAGAGCAGATACTCTGTGGAGCTGAATAGATGATTGCTGTACTGATTTATACTAAGGTGTTAATGGCCACTGTGTCCCCAGGGAGTTTGTGTTTTAACCTAGCTCTGAAGATTTATTATTGGCAGCGTGGGGACACTGTAGGATGAGAGGATTTTACCACTGTTGCTGGGATTACCAAAAAAGAAGACAGATCCCTAGGGTCAGGCGGGCCCTGCGCTACATACAACAAAGAGAATCTTCCTCTTGGGTCTTATGATCAGCTTCCTGATATACCTGAAGCCAGACCACAGAAGCCCAGTTATTCCCAAGAGGTGTTGTGCAGATTGAAAAGATAGTCCCTGCAAAAAGCATTGAGTATTGAGTGATACAACTGTTTTTATTATTGTAATCCTTTGTTATACTCGTCCTCTTCTCACTCCGTATCAGTCTCTTTTCCAAGTTGCTCCTTAATAATACACCAACTTGCAGATATGAAGCTGGGGCGGAACGTGGCCAGAACGTTTTTGGATTATTATCGGCTAGACCCCATGGTTGAGAAAATGGCGATTCCCATGCCAAGGCTGCGGTAAGTGGCTGAGCAGAGCAGTGTGGTCTGGAGTCCTGCTTTGTGGGCTTCACATTCAGGGGCAACTTCCCTTAGCCTCTCTCCACCCTCAGTTTCCCATCTGTGGCACAGGAAAGAAATCCCAGCCCTGCCACAGAGTGTATGGGAAAGAAGAGCTTAACAGAGTATTTCTTGAGTATAAAGTATCAATATGGGGTTGGACAGTGAGGGGTGGCCACATTTCATGGGAGTGTACAGGGATGGGGCTTCCTGGGAGCCAAGTGCAGTCATAATTCTAAGTTAGTCTGGTGGTACCATATGCTACTTCATCTGATAGCTCATCCTCAGAGACTCCTGTGTCATCTAGGCTCCTAAAGTGTCTTATCCTTCCATTTCCTCATCCATAAACTGGGACAGTAGCACTCAGTTGGAAGTTTATCATACATGTCCCTTTGGTGCATGGCAGTCCCCTTCCCTCAAGACACAAAGGTTCAGGGCTGGAGGGGACACACCCCTGAGAAGGTTTGGCTCAGGCGCTCTGCTGGAGCAACTTCTTAAGCCAGTGAGGAGAGACGTCAGGAGATGAGTATTCTTCCTGGGGACTAAACAAGAGCGCCAAGCACTGGGTGTTCCCACACCTGCTGGAGGTGAGCCCAGTGAGCATTTGGGGATCTGGATTGTGCAGCCCCTGCCCTGCCCCTTGGCTTAATTTCCTACTTCCCTTGTGGTCCAGCCTCCTTGAAGGACATGGAGATGTATAACTTACTGCTCCTGCCAGACCAGTCTTCCCACAGTCCTTGCTTATGACTTTGACTATGTGCTTGCTGCCTCAGGGCCTTTGCACCTTCCTCCTTACCTAATTATTAACAACAACAACAAAAAACCCTATAGCAGTCATTGTTATTTATTGAGTGAAGTAATTGCTGTCCCTGATCCTATTTATTTATTCCTTGTAGATGTTATATGCTCCATATTACAAATGAGAGAAAGAGATCTCGGAAAGGTGAAGAGAATTGCCTGAGGTCAAAGAATTTTTGTCAGAGCCAGGATCTGATCCTAGACTTTTATGATTCCAAAGCTAGACTGAGGTCCAGCTAAGCTCCAGCTGGAAAGTGAGGGTTCAAATTCTCTCAGGCTCATTGTAGCTGTGGGACCTCTTAAAACCTTTGTCTACTTATCTATAAAGTTGGGGTAATAACAATGACCTCTAAAGATGGTTTTAAAGATTAGATACAAGCTTGGTACAGTGCCTAGCAGCCAATAGATGGTCAATAAATGCTTCCGTCTCCTCTGGTTTCTAGTTTGCAGTCCCAGATTTCCAACAGGCTCTTCATAGCCTAGGGCACGACCCTGCCTTCTCTGGTTGAGTTGGATGATTTCTCAGGGCCCCGGTTAAACCATGTTGTGAGTCACTATCTTTGAGCCCCAGCTGCATGACAACGTACTCTGACTCATAGTCAGTCTCAGATTATTCACCAGTCATGGGGCTCTTTGTGCCCCCCATCCTGGGGGAGGATTACATTTATTTCTTCTCTGCGCTCCCACAGTGTCTAGACTGTACTGAGTGTGCATTTTTGTATACATTCATTCGTTCATTTAGTCATCCACTTAGGAAAACAACACTTTATGCAAGGACCCTGGGGAAAGGATGAAGCTGAATAGATAAATGATTAAGGTATGACCCTGTCTTGGAGGGGCTCACCTCTAGAGAAAAGTACTCAGTTCTTTTTAGAAGTCATTCTTGATTGGTTAAAGTTCTTAAAATTTTAAAGCTTTATAAAACTCAAAAGAACTCTTAGAATCTCATTTTCAAGTTAATTTGGGGATTCTCTCTCTCAGGTCCTCTCTCAGCCTGAATGAAATTATTTTGATCCTTTACCACTGTTTTCTTGCATGTTGCATTGTGCCAGACTAATGGAATGGGGCTGACAGTCGGGGACTTTAGCAATCATCCAGGACCCCTCCTCACGATACGGATGAAGAAGACATGGATGGTCAGATGCACGATGTCCCTTTTGTGTGCTGCCTCCTATTGTCTTTACCTTACTCCTCAGTCATCAACAATGAAGGAAATGGCTCTTCCAAGGTCAGAGCGTAGGGGACTATAGGAAGTCACTTCCTCAGTTCTAATCCAGACAGAATAAGAGATTGCCCTCTTCATGCCATTTACCACTTCCTGCCATGCATTATAGTTCTTTATTATTCTGTGTAGTTATTTTGTTCAGTTTTCTCCTCTACAAAACTTATGCAGCCTGAGAACAGCATCAATGACTGACTCATCTTGGGACCATACCTAGTACCCAGCACCCTGCCTTTGTAAATTACAATTGGCAAGGAATGATACTAGGTGCATTTACTCATGTTATTTTATCTAAAGTCATGATGCCCCTACAGGGTTGGACCTTTACAAGGTCACACCTCTCATATACAGCTGTCCTAGAAATTCAGTTGAGTTCTTTCTGGCTCTGAAGCCCACTCTTTCCACTGGGAATCAATCTTAGTCCAAAGCATGAATGAATGGCACACCAACTTATCAGTCCCAACATAAGGCCCTGCGTGAGGGAAAATGAAACAGTGGATACAACTTGGTCCCTGACAACAAGGAGCTCATAGTCTAGTGTGTGAGCCAACCAGACAGTGTATGGTTACTGAAAAGTGGTGTTAAGGATATTGCATTGAGTGCTGCCTGCTGGCTACTGGCTGCTGTGACACAGTGGTGAACCAGACACATCTCTGACTTATAAAAGCCCCCAGACTGTGGGGAGACAGACCCATCATGAAATTCCATAATCGGGCTGTACTGAGAAATATAAAGAGGGCTGTGGAGCCCAGATGCTTGTGAAGGGAATGGGTCCTAGGCTCTCTCAAGCCATAACCCTTCTATGTGTCCACCCCCATCTTATCGTGAATGGGTAGAATGAGGTAGAATCAAGGTGGAAACATGGAAGAGTTGAGCTATAAGAAGTTAGGTTTCTTCCAGAACCAGAATGATGTAATGTATCCATCCATCCACCTATCCATCCATCCATCCATCCATCCATCCATCCATCCAACCACTATTCATTGAACCACTGTGCTTGCTTTGAACCAGGCCCTGAGTTGGGTTCCCAGGACAAGACAAGGCCACTGTTCCTAGGCGGTCCCAATCCAGTGGGGGAGATAGACATGTACACAAATGATTTCATACAGTGTGTATATGTGCTGTCCTTCTTCTCTCTTTCTGTCATCTCCCCCTTTGCAGGAAAGAAAGACCCCCTCCCTACAAGTACCCACTCCGGCGGGGCCCGACCAGCAGCTATCCCATCAGCAAAGGGGACAAGAAGAGCTCAGTGAACCACAAAGACCCTTCAAACTCTTTTTAAGGACATGAAGTCCTGGGAGGTCTTGTGGAGCATGCATTTTCTGCTGGGGCATAACATTAATCACCTTCTAGTTTCCAAGAGAAGGGCTGTGGGATAAGGAATAAGCTAGTGAAGAGGAAGGGAGGAAAGTGAGAAATTTCATCATTGATTTTCCCTTTTACCAATGGAAAATCAATTGTAAGGCTTCAGCTTACAGCTCAGGAACAAAATAGGAGATGCAAACCAGGCGAGTACAGATGCCCCTTTCCCACCACATAGAGATGCTCACGGGAAGAGGAAAACCTGCACATCCCTTTGAGAGGTTGGTCAGAAGTCCGTGCTCTCCGGCCCTTTCCCTGTTGAAGTTGTACAGTTACTACAAATGGTTACCTTTTATTTATTTTTATTTTTAATATATTTTATTGATTTTTTACAGAGAGGAAGGGAGAGGGATAGAGAGTTAGAAACATCGATGAGAGAGAAACATCAATCAGCTGCCTCCTGCACACTCCCTTCTGGGGATGTACCCACAACTAAGGTACATGCCCTTGACCGGAATTGAACCTGGAACCCTTGAGTCCATAGGCTGATGCTCTACCCACTGAGCCAAACTGGTTAAGGCCAGATGGTTACCTTTTAAAATAAGCTCTGGTTGTTTATAGTTTTAGAAAAGCTGTGCCCATATCTGCTGATCCAAAGCAACATCAACAACACGTGCAACCCAGAGACACCTGCACTGCTGGGAACAATGGGACAGAGTTTTTGAAATTACAGTGGTCTCAGACATTCAGTCACTTTATGCATGAGTTGCGTGCTCCCTGACTCCACCAAATCCCAGCATGTAACATCAGAAAACTATTCCAAGAGCTATTTCCCAATGGCCTGGGTGGTTTCATTGAGAATTTAGCTCCAAAGACAAAAAAAGTATTGGTCACTCAATCTCCAGATTCTGGTGTCACAGAGCCAGCCTGGCCACCGAAGAGGCAGGCATTGATAGTCTGACAGGGGGGAAGGCTGATGGCCAGGTAGGGGAGATACAAAAGACGAAAAGATGTGCTCCCAGGCAGGTGGGGATGATAAAATAAAACAACAGCAGCAGCAATTCCCAAGGTGGGGCAAGCTTAATGTTGTGCATTTTTCTAAAGAGTCAAGTGCCTTTGTATGATGAATGGGTCCAGGAGAGTCTGCTCCCTCCCCTGTCGGGAAGCAGCAGGCTGAGTCACCGCGACAGCCTGCTAATTAAAGTGACCTCCCGGAAATGAGGATTAGGAGGTAGGGAGAGGAAGGGAGGCTCCAGGGAGATAGGGCCTTTAGCACAAAGCTCCAGTGAAGCATTTTTTTGCTTTGGGTTGAAGATTTTCTAAGTTTGATGCAAAAATGAAGAGCATAGCGTGTTCTCCCTTTGCTTATTGGTTTTCAGAAATTATAACAAAGAACCATATGTTTGCTGGCTACAAATGTTGTGTTGTGTATACAGCTTCTCCCCAGGGTGCTCGTTGCCCAGAGGAACACAAATAAAGTGGTTGATGCAGCTCTTCTGTCCCTCTGAGTGTTCTTGGCACCTTTCCCTTTAGGTCTCTCACTCCTTTGAGATCCAACCAGCCAACCTCACTTAGTTGTCAGGGACTCTATAACCAAGATAAGGAAGAATGGTTGAAACTTAACTTTCCTGGCAGTTGCCATGTCAGAGTCCTGGGGATTTAGTTGACTGCAACCAGCTCAACATGAGGCAATAGGGTGGCAGGCCTTTCAGAAAGGATAGCTTCTCTTGAGGCAGCATAAATAGAGGCAGATTGCATAAAGTAACAGAGGTGATAGTACAGATCTATTTTTCCCTGGTCAGACTGTTTCTATATGTTGTGACTAGATTTAGGCTCCACTTTTAAAAATTGCTTTGATTAATTGAATCACAGGCCTCACAAGCAGCGAATATGTTCATAGTTTACAAGCAAAACACATGGAGAGAGTCAACTCTGGGTTTTAATTCTGCTTCCTGACCCTGGTTCTGTCTCTTAATATCTGGATGACCTTGGGTATGTTATTGAACCTTTCTGAATCTTAGTTTTCTCACCTATAGGATGGTAATAGTAATGTCTATCTCATTGTAGTAGTTATGTAGGTTCAATGAATTTGGGTATGGGAAATGACAGAAAAGGTGCTCAATAGATGGTAGCTATGCTACTGATAATACAACCAGGATAATACAACCAGTTGTCTGTAAATCATTTCCCGTTAGAAATTGAAGAGGACACTGGAGCTATTTGTCCTTGAGACAAAACCTAAGAGGGAGTAGAAGAAGGAAGGCAAAATCATAATCTGTATTTTGGACATTATTTTTGTCCAAAAGAAGCAAACTTTTTCTGTGTTGTCAAATATAAAGACCACATCCAGGGAAGTATTCTCAGTAAGACCGATTTCAGGTCCAAATCAGGAAAACTTCCTAGTTGTCAATCATTGGATGGGCTCCCATGGAAACAGTGAGTTCCCCATCACCAGAGGTATGCAAGCAGAGTCTGAATAAACATTTGTCATGGAGGAAATGGGGGACTCTTCTCTAGGGGGATGCTGGATGCTCTGCAGCATTGCCTTCTAGTCTGTAGCTCTGAAATGACCTGAGGCAGGAGGTTACATAACTGATGTCAGAGAATGAATTGTGCCGATGAAAAATATTTTTTAATGCTAAATGAGTGCCATTAAATGTCTATAAACTACAGCATATGGATTCCATGAACATTTAACATTCTTTTAGTCCAGCGATTTCCAGCTGGTGTGCCATGGCACAAGAATTTTTAAAACATGCAGTACCTGACTATTTAGTCAGGGGCACTGACCTCTTTTCCCTTCGACTGTCAAATAAAAGAGTGGCAACAGCCAATAGCTGTCTGGTGTGAATGAATCAAAATCATACCTAATTTTTGGGGGGTCAGATCAGCAAAAAGTATAATAAATTTTTTGGTGTGCACAGAATTTTAGTAATTAGTTTATCGGTGCCTCGAGAGGAAAAGGTTGAAAATTGCTGCTTTAACAGAAAAAATACATGGGTATAAGGCCAATTGGAGGATGCTTTTGCAGTAGTCCTGTCTGCTTCTTCCCATTGGAAATGCAGAGTGAAAAGGCCTGACCAGGAGAGGAGGGGTTTCGAGTGGACCTCCTGAGACCTTGGCCTGCTCAGCAACCCCTAGTTTTCTGGACCAGGTTATACCCATGATCTCAAGTTAGAGGGGAAGGGTTTCAGCACTGAGATGAAGGACAGCACCAACCCAAGGGACTGTTGGGAACATTAAGCAGGCAATGGATACAATGCCTGGCACACAGTAAATTAGGTCAGTACATATTTGGTAGATGTATGAATTGATGCTCAACAAACGTTAATCACTCCAGATTTTTATGGTTGGCACTCTTCTTACAACTTAAGAAGTTGGGGTCCTCTTCGGCAAGCCTCAGGGGTGCCATTGAATTACCATGAAAGGATACAGCCCATCCTGTGCCTCTCTCCTATTCAAAGGCATAGGAAAAACTAGGTATTGACCCCCTGCTGCTGCTGCTGCTGCTGCTGCTGCTGCTGCTGCTACCAAGCTAACAATATCATCATGGCTGGGACCCAGCCTCTGCTGTGGCCTTAGAACAAGAATCTGTGTGTGTGTGTGGGGGGGGGGGCGGGAGCTCCTGCTTGCCTATTGAGGCTAAACAGACCCTCAGTTCTGTTTCTAAGCCTCTGGACTGATGGAAAAAAAAAAAAAAAGCCCCTAGCATTGTTTATAAAGGGTTGTGTGGGAGCAAGGTAGAGGCCCAGTATGTCCCTCCTCCCTCCACCCTTCCTTTTTGTACAATTGTCTCCTTCTCTCCCCTCAGAACATTAGTTGGTAGCAAATTCTACCCTTTATACCTGCTTGTGGCTCTATCCTGAGAAGGAAGTGGACAGGCAAGAAGAGAGGCTAGAGCGCCCCCTGCTGGGTACCAGTGAGCGACACTGCCTGGCCTTGTGACATTAAGTAAATCTTGCCCTGTCTGGAGTTACCCCAGAGCTTCAACTGCCTTCATTTTCTTACTCTTGGATACGGTGACATCCCAGGCAACCTACTCCCAAGAGTACTATGAGGCTAAAATGAGAGGATGAATGGGAACACACTTTTTTTTTTTTAAAAAAAAGAAAGCATTTCCCAGTATTTTCTCCCCTTGTTCTGAGATCTCCTAAAGGTTCCCACTTGGTCCTCTCTGCCTTTGACCTGGAATGCCCTGTCATGATCATCCAACAAAATGTATTAAACATCTTGTGTTTGTTAAGTGCTTCCCGTTCCTCTCTGCAACCCTGCTTTCTGCCTATCCTTCAAGACCCCCCTTCAGGAAGTCTTCCCTGACCTCCCAGCCCTCACAAATAACTCTTCCTCTGGGCTTTTAAGAGAACTCTTATCTAAACATTCATTTTGGAACTTAGAAATGGCTTTGGTATTTCACTTTTCCTGGGTATCAGCTTTGTTTTCCCAACTCAACTTTGCATTGTTTTGGGGGCAAGATAATTAGAGATGGCAAAAATCAGTATTACTCACCACTCAGGTTCCAGGGCCCTGCAAAGGCCAGGCAGCAAGTAACCATTCTGTGGGAGTCTTCACGTATTGCTAATGCTACCACCGAAGGGATGAGGTGGCTGCTCTGAGCAGAACATTTCTGTGAGAAGGACCTCCCTCCTTCTCTTTCTGCCTTTAGATGTTTCCAAACAAGGGCAACCCCCTGGGCAAAGTGGAGCAAACCTAGCTTGCAGGCCCATATACAAAGTTGTCAAACTTTAAAGCTAAGAGCGTCCATGGGAAGAGACAAAGAGGGGAGACGGATGAGGAGAGGCTGGGGTGGGTGACAGATAATTGACTTTGGTGGATCTGAGTGTAAGTGTGCATGTGTGTGCGCGCACTAGTCTAGTTGTATTATGTATGAGGCTTTTGTAACTTCTTTATATTTGAGTATGAAAATGCATGAGTGTGTATAGTTGTGAATGTTGTGTGTGCATCACTCAGTATTAGATGACAGATTATTGTCAATTCTAAGCACGTTTTCACTTCAACTGCTAGTCAGAGGTCCTAGGTTACATTTCATTTGAAATTCTATCTTCTCTGTTGACATCTCATCCATATTAATGGGTCACCCCTTTGCCCAGCCTCCCTGGACTGTGCCCAGGGGGATGTCAGGGCCACCTCTCCTGCCCAGCCCCAGTGGAGGCTGATGCTAATTCTATCCAGCCAGACCCTTGGTGGACAGCTCACCCAAAGCCCCTTTCCTGACTGTTAGCGGGTGACCCCATGTTCAGATCTCTTTCCGGATCTCTTTGTGTTCCTGTTTCTCTCTCTCCTCCTTCATACCCTTTTGGACTATAAGTAAAACCAACAACTGTGGGGTGGTGTTATGAAGGGAGTAGCTGCTCTCCTTAACATCCCGATACCTTTCCATACTGCTCCTGGGAGATAGAT